TTTAATCACTTTTTTGAGACTTACCCTATCCTAGTCACTAACATCGGCTCTTAGTGGGGAGGAATGGAGGGAGAGTGTTAGCAGAGGTAAGTATGTTTGGAAATACATTTTCAGATTAGGAAAATGATAACTTCCAAAATATACATACCTCCGCTGACAGTTATAGCTAGAATCCCACACTGAGAAGGCAGATGGGTAGGTGAGGGCATAGTTCATACAGAAAGCCTATGAATAAAACAAAGGTGTACCATGAGAAGTGGTACCAGGAACGTTGAGAGCCAGCACGAGCCCCGGGGCAAACATCCTCGCTGGGCCCCCTTTCTCTCTCTCTTTTTTTTAACATTTTCAAGAATTTATTAAAAAGAAGATCCTAAATTAGGACAGCAACGAGCTCATAAACCAGACCAAATCATAGCAGCAGCCGTTTTTACCTCACAGTATAAGCATAAAAACGTTAAAAAGTAACAACAAATACATATTAATTATTACTCAAATTATTATTTCAGTCGTTCTTAATGTATCAAATGTCTATATGCAAAGCAAAGCCAAAAACTATGGTTTTATCATTCAATGAAGATATAGCCTAAAGATGCTTTGTGGGCTTTATGACATTACCAGGTTTCATTCGCCCGGGCCCCTGGATGTAGAATTGGAGACCTGAACTGTAGGCTAGCATTCCAATGGGCTGCAAAGGTGTCTATCATCGGAGATCCAATTTGAGAACAAATCCATTGAAAGACCACCTGATGGAACACCCATGCTGGTGGAAGAATCTGATGGGATCGAGAAAGGTGATCTACTATCAAAATCATAACCCCTGGTACATGACAGGCCAAAAGATGGATGTCATTTGAATGAGCTGAAAAAAAAGATCCAAAGCCTAAAAATATCTCAAGAGTGAGAACTTCCTTGATGAGAAAGATATGAAACCACTGTGGAGTACTCAGAATGAATCATGACCATTTTGGCATGCAAGAGAGGAAGACCTGGAATCACCATTAGAAGTTTGAGAATGTTGGTACATAAGATAGATTCGTAGTGGTCCAAATTCCTGGAATGCCTACACCAGAAGAAAGGCACCCCCCATCTGTGAAAAAAGTATCCATGAGGACATGGATTTCCATACAAGGAGGTAGTATCCAGACTTTGATATTTGTGTCGTTCCTGTCTAGCCACCACTTGAGATCTGCAAATTGTTCGAGCAAAGAGACTTTATGATCTAAAGGATCGGTATGCATAAGCAACTGGCCGTGAAATGACCTCTGAAGGGATCTCATATGGGCCTAATCAACGAGGGATTCCATGGAAGCCCAAATCCCCAAAACAGACAGAACCATCCATGCAGTAGGAGAAGGTGACAAAAGAAAATGCCTGAAAAACTCTTCCTTAGCATGAAGTCTGAGGGGAGAAGGTTGAGCTCGACTCAAAGTGAATTGAAAAACACTGCAAGATGGAACATGTATGGATATGGTGAAAGAATGGAATTTTCCAACCTGATATAAAGTCCACCCTACTGGCTTCAGAAAGGAGAATCTGTGGATGTAATGTGACAGGTTGGTTCTAACAGAAGTCAATCTTCCAAATAGTGATGTGTACACAAACCCAGAAAATGAAGATGCTGCTCAAAGGCCCATACTACTTAGCATAAAACATATGGTGCTGAAGCAAGTCCAAACGGGAGAGCTTGGAACTGCTACACCTGGTTCTCATGCAAAAAAATGTAGATATCAACAAGAAGGCTCTTGCTATGGGGATGTGAAGGTAGGCATCTGTAAGATCAAACTTGGTCATCCAAAGATCTGGTGTGAAGTGTCATTGAAGTTGAAGAAAAGATTCCATGGTGAAATGAGATTGAGTCAAAACAGAATGATTATAAAACACCAATCTCTAGTGTTCTTGGTCTCCAGAAAAAGATGAGAACAGAATCCAGGATGAATGGGACTGACCTTCTAAATGGGTAGACACCTACACCACTGGTGCCATCCCAACTTTCCAAACATCCCTGAGAATACGGAAGGAACCGATTCTGTAAACCAATAAGACGAGGTGTCAAATGTATGGACCGCGAGATGCGAATGATCGATCCTCCAGGATTACTTGTTGAAGTATAAGAGAGGTGAGCAGCCAATGACAATAAAGAAAATTACAAACGTGCCGTATAAAATAAGGCTTCGAAAGTTTCAGGGACTCCAGCAAACTAGTAAGATAGAAAAAGGGGCACCTCCCAGAAATCACGAAAAGGAGTGTCACAATACAGTAGTAAGAGTTAAATTAATCCGCAAAAATTGAGATCTGGTAAGAGGGATAACAAATTCTAAACTGGAACCCCATAGATCCAACAACAAATCCAACTGTTGAGTGTCCAAATATACTACAGCCAGATGATGATAAGCCAGGGCATGTTGTTCTGATAAACGAGGGGAGCAAGGCATAGCAATACTCTCTCGTAATTGCATTGCAAACATCCCAGCATACACGGTAATATCAGGGGAAGGAAGAAGAATAAGTAATCCTCCAATTGAGATCTATCTGACAACAAGGCAGGGTAGACTCAAAAGCAAGGGGGGGGGGGTGAATCCCCAAAGCTTTACAAACTCGCATAACTAACTGCAGAATATAGATAGAAGGTAGCTGATCAGATGAGCCCTCAGCAGAGGCAGCTAAAGTGAAAGAAGGAGCAGAAAACAGTATCTAAATTCTCCCCAGTATATTCAGGTTCATGATGAAAAGCCAACTCTGAACCCCTGGGCCACATGAAGGACTCCAACTCATCTCAAATCAGGTCATGGACAGCCTCTACCAAGACTGACCCCCCCAGACTACCACTAGACAACAAAGGAGGAATGGTCAAGGTCTAATTATCCACTGTGCCAGAAACCATTACACAGGAATTCATCAATGCATTTTGTTTAACCAGAAAAGAAAACCAACAAAATATCAGCAACTGGAAAGAAAACAACAAAAAACACCAGACTACTGTCAAAATACTTCACAAGAAAATGTGAACCACAAAACATAACGCCTAGCACTTTGTCAAGAAAAAGTGATTATATTGTTGACATTCTGTGCTTGTATACTGTACCTGCATAAAGGGTGTGTGAGGGCCGGAGTAAAGTTTTGCAAATTATATATATTGCTGAGGGCAATCAAGTGGGGTATAAATATTGGAGCAAGCGAACACGATGTTTAGATGGCAAAGATGGAAGATCGAGAAATAGCTATAAGTGTCAGCGGAGGTATGCATGTTTTAATGTGTAAATGAATGACATTGTCTGGTTTTGCAGAACCATAATTGTTTAATTATGGTCAATTATTGATCTATAGAACTTGACTATAAACATACTTAATACAAGTTTCATTGAATAAGAAAATAACAGGAAGCCAGTTACTTGTAAATACTACTATAGCACTACCTACAACATATCACTAGTTCCATAATTTGCATATATCAGATGATCACCTTGTTTTTATGACTCCACTTTGTTCAACTACTGAAACTTTGTATGTGTATGTCTAATCCCAACTCAAAAATACAAGATTTTCATTAAAAAATATTCAGTCATACATTAACCCTTTCAAGACGGGTCACAGATGAAAGGTCATGTCATCTCGTTTGTTGACTCGAATTCAAAATTTTATTTATGTCATTAAGTTTGGTATCACACTGTAGATTATAATTCAAATCTTAAAAATTATATATTAATCAATTTCTTAATTTAAAAGTAAATATTAAAAAAAAACAGATAAACATCGATTTTTGTGTGTCACATGGTATGATGAATGCAGCACT